GACATCACCACAAGCACAACTTGAAGCATCGCTATGAACTGCAGGAGACCCTGGGCAAAGGTACCTACGGCAAAGTCAAGAGAGCCACCGAGAGGTTTTCAGGCCGAGTGGTGAGTAGGGGAAATCCCTGGGTGGTACCCGCTAGTTTCGCGGTGGACCAAGTGGGGTCTGGGTACGCCACACCACCCGGGCTCCCTCCACCAAAAGAGGTCTGGGCAGAAGCCCCCAGTCAAACTCCTCACTTTGCTTGCAGCACCTATGACTCAGGTGTGCATCTCCAGAAACACTTGTTACATCCTGTCTGCACATATTTGGGTCGGTCTTCCCCCTTAGTAGTGTTTAGGAATCGCAAACAATTTGCAGCTTTGGGAGCACGGGGTCTCCTCCGCAGACACACCTTCAGACCTTGCCGAGAGCTCCTTATTTGTACAACTCCAAAAAGACCCACATCCGTCATGAAGCTGGGCTCTCAAGGCTCGTGTCCTGTGGTTGCCCCTGACCCTCACTTCTTTCCTATCTAGCCACAATCCCACTTCTCTTTATCCTTTCATTGAGCTTGACTACCCTGATGCTGCTGTTGCTGCAAAAGAAGACAGACTGTTGCCAGAAAAAACCAAAAGCTACTGCTGAAGGTCTGAGGTTTTTGACAGTTTGCATTCCGGCCTCTGGCAAGACTGACATGGCCAGGGCATGGGTGGCCATTCAGACACAGACCTGACTTGCTTGCCTTCCTGGTCCTGGCTATAGGGCTTACTAAATTGTTCAAGGGGTCTGGCTAGCTGCCCCTGTGACAGCGGAAGCTCTGCCAGGGTGCGGAGGAGTGCTTTAAGGGGCTCAGTATTGTTCCAGCTTTGGATCACTGTCATTTTCCCCTTTGCAGAACAGGCCCTTGGAATCCACAGTGCTTGTGGCTAGAGTTGGGTTCAAAGTGACTGACTGTTGCAGAAAGGGTTTGTGTGGTGTGTGGCAGAAATGAACATGGTTCTTTGGTTTAAAACATATCAGATGCATTTTAATTGATTTAAAGCCAAAGTCAGAAAGTGTAAGACATCTCGTGTGCACTTTTGAGGGTATTTGGGGACCCACTACTGCTTGTAAACCTAACCAGAGGCTACAGGGAAGGGCAAGAAAACTGTCATAGTGTTTTGGTGTTATTTTATATTTGCATAGAGACAGTTCTGTGGAAAATTATTATGGTCAGCAAGGTTTACCCTTGTAATTGTCAAGTATGTGGCCAGCCGTAACGACCCCCTCCCATTCACTGCCCAGGTTGACACAACATTTATCACTTAAAAGGTCTGTTATCAATGAGTTGGGGGTTGGGAATTGTGTTCTTAAAATAAACTGCTCTGTCATACATGAATTCTATGGCAAGTTGCAAAGTGATTGCACAGGTGCCCTTTGCTTTCCAGGCTGAGAATTCTGAAGAGGAGAGGGTTGCAGAGGTGTTCTCTGACGACAGAAGAGCTTGAGAAGCACGCTTCATTCATGTGTTTCTCCTGAGTTGGTATTTCCCAGGCTGGGTGTTGAATAAGCAAAAAAACTAAGTGTAGCTTCTTGTTGTCTTAAAAGCTGCTGAAGAATTGCGCCGGGAAGTTGGAGAGCAGGATAATGAGAAACAGACATGGTCTGAGATGCAGGTTGAAGGTGTGAGAACCTGAGTGGCAAGGGTGCCTGTGGGATCTGTGGCACCCAAGTGTTTGGGAGGCAGCTCAGCTGTGCTGAGTCTGTGTGGCATATGCTTGCCTGATGAGCTCCACTGTGGCTTCCAGTCAGGCGTTTCTTTAGCTGTCTGAGCCCCAGGCTGGGTTAGACTTGCGTTGGTAGGCAGGCGCCTGCCTTCCTCTTTCGGTGGGTGTCTGGCTCTTTCTTTGCACAAAACTGAACATTCTGCCAGGATTTAGACTCATGGCCACTAGGGGGCGCCCAGAGAACGATAGAGCCTCATTTCTCCTCTGGGAGACCGTCTGCTGTTATTGTCTAGTTCACCCTCCCATTGTGCTATTAATTTCAGCAAAATCTCTTGTTTTATTCAAAGATTATGTAAAGATTTTTAAAGCTGGCAATAGATACAGGCCCAGGAACTGACAGTTCCCAAACTACTTCACTTCTGCATTGGACTGTTTTCTGCTTGATTGCTAAGTTGAGTGCTAGCAAGACCCTCTGGTGAACAGAACAGCTTGCTTTTAACAGATAGAAGGAGAGCTATCCTCCTGGGTCCTGCATCCTCCCCTGCTGAGTGCTCTGTTCACAGATGGCAGAAGAGCTCAAGTGAGAAACTGGAATTGTCAGGTGGAAAATTCCCCATATCTGGCTGCACAGAAAATAATGCAAGCAACGACAAAAATATTGGTCAGCATAGTGCTTGTCTATTCAGTGCCTGGTGACTCAATGTCAAGAGCAGCAAAAAATTTTATGAGATTACTGTGACATCCGCAACTTGCCCCGAAGCTTCCATTGAAGAAGCTTAATTCTGCCTGCTCTGTCTTTGGGAAGGATTACAGTTGATGCTTTTGATCCAGTCCCTTTGAGAGCATCTCTCCGGAGGAGCAGTGATGTTCGCCTGCTCTGTTAACATGAATCAGGCCCTGAATTATTACTGTGAATCAACCAGTCAGAGATGTTAGGGGAATTGGCATTTCTGCCTGCAGCAGGGGTCCTGCTCACAGAGGAGAGTCATTTCTTGTAGCTTAGAACTTCCTACCTGGAAGGGCTTTCTGGGTGAGACCCAACAGGGCACAGTATTCTCTTGAGTGCTGACCCAGGAACTTGCAGGCAGCTGGTTCATCCCTCTGCATGATTCCCCAGGTGTGGCTTCACAGCTTTAGCTTAGGCATGCCTATATGGCAGAAATTCACGTGGCTCGAGATGATGAGCCTGACATTGGGTCAGCCCCACAGAAAAGCTCTGGCCACCATTCAGACCCTTGACCCGTCTCTTATGACACTGGAGACTTTGGGAAGATATTTAAGTGTGAAGTGCCAGTTTCCTTAGCTGGAAAGCTGGGTGCCGGCAGCACCAAATCCTTGGACTTTTGAGAATGAATGTAAAGTCTCAAAGGGGAAAAATGAAACATTCTGGTGTTCCTTCCTGGTGGATTTTCTTTCTTATTCTCATTTATGATTGCATCTATATTTTAAGGCCATCAGAGAGACAGTTTGCACCAGCCAATTAGCCTTGGATCTTGCAGAGAGAGGGGGAGAAGCAAGGGAACTACTCACTTTGCCAGGGTAATTAGATTAATTAGGGAGGTGCAGGCACAGGAAGGCAAGACAGTCGACCAGATCCAGATAGGATCTGAATGTGTTTCTACAGTGTTGAATTTGGGCCCCATTTATTACACAACCTTTGTTTGGATGAAGTTTTGGGCTGGCTGTTGGATGAACTTATGGGTCATCCTACGGCATGCATTTTTTGGGGAGCCAATCCCTTAGACCTTTAGGGCACACAAAGCATTGCTAAAACAAACACTATGCAACACAACACAACAAAAAATTGAACCAAAACACACAATTTTTCAAGGAGCATTTGACCAAAATGAATCTTACAAGCATAAGCTCTTGCCAAAAGCAATTTCCTCAGCCCAGTGATGGCAAACTGTCGATCTGAGAGCTAAATGAACAAGCTGGCTGCCAGACTAGGTTATGCATGAGCATCACGTGCACAGTGGCTGAGGTGCCATGGTAGAGTCCAGGCTCAAGTCCAGTTTCCAGAGAATCAGAGATCTTGGCCAATGTGTCAGCCCAACCTCTCCCAGAAATGTTAAGTGACTGAGCTTGGGTGGAGAAACCTGATTTTTGATCAGGGATGTCTGTCCAGTGTTTGACAATGTGGTTCTCATTCTTTAAGGACTTTTAGTCTAGCAGCAGGCATGAAATACAGCTGCAGATATTGAATGAGTTCTGTCAGATGGCGTGACTGAGATATCATGCTGTCGGCCATGCACACTCACCATGTTAAATATGGAGCTGGGCGTGAATAAGCCCAAGCAGCTTACAGTAGGCTAGAAGAGGGGGAGGGGACAGTTCCCAGGCCCACTGTCATTGCTTCAGAGGCTGATCAGCACTAGCTTGATGGAATTTAGTTCATTAAAATGAGTTTGATCCTGGGCAGAAGCACCTGTTCCTGCTGTTACAACCAGAAGATGTGTGTGTGTGTGTGTGTGTGTGTGTGTGTGTGTGTGTGTGAGAGAGAGAGAGAGAGCGAGAGAGAGAGAGAGAGCGAGAGAGAGAGAGAGAGCGAGAGAGAGAGAGAGAGCGAGAGAGAGAGAGAGAGCGAGAGAGAGAGAGAGAGCGAGAGAGAGAGAGAGAAAAGAGTGTCCCTGTATATGTGTGGGTCTATATGTTTATGTGAGTGACTATGTGGAAGCCAGAGGAAAACCCTGGGTGTTATCCTTCAGTGCTATTCACTTTGTCTTTTAAGAGTGTCTCTCATTAGCATGGTAGTGGACTAGCTAGCCAGCAAGCCCTGAGGATTTACAGTGCTGGAATTACAAGAGCATGCTACCACGTCCAGCATTTTCCTGTTTTGTTTTTCAAAACAGGGTTTCTCTGTATTGCTTTGGCGCCTGTCCTGGCACTCACTCTGTAGACCAGACTGGCCTTGAACTCACAGAGATCTGCCTGCCTCTGCCTTCTGAGTGCTGGGATTAAAGGTGTGCGCCACCAATGCCTGGCCATGTCCAGAATTTTTATGTGCGTTCTGGGGCCAAACTCAAGTCCTCTTGCCTGTACAAGTAATGTATCAACTGAGCCACCTCCCACTTACCACAAAGCTGATGTTTTTGAAATCATGAGGCGTGTCATGCTGAGCCTAGAACTTTACTGACATGTTCCCTCATTTAACCCTCACCTCTAATGTGTTAAATCCTAGTTGGATCCACTTTACTGTTTACTCCACTTTACTGGAGAGAAAATAGCATATTGGTGGGCAATGAGTTGAGGATCACAACTGGACAGTGTCTCATAGGTCTGTCTAGTTGGAAACCCATTGCTACTAGAGGAATTAAGAGCCTTCCTTATGCCACACAGCAGTGACTCTGGACTTCCCACTTTGCCAGTGGTGTCAGCTGTGGCCTGATTCTTTCTTGAAGTGGGCTCTTGCTGTAGTT